CTGCACACTTTCACACTGGACTCAAGTGCTTCCCACTGATTCTTCCGTGACCGCACTGTCCTTGAGCAGCTAGCTCGGCCAGTTGCTGTCTCCCTCGCTGACCCCTCTAGGGGCCCGGTCCTTGCGACCTCCTCCACTGTCCTCCCTTGTCATGCGGTCCCGTCCGGCACCCTGTCGGGTCTTTACCTCCCCTCGTTCTCTACGAACTTGGTGGCGGGCTCTGCTCTCCAGGAGGGGGGTGTGCACCAGTTCACCCCTGCCTATGAGCGTGTGACCCACTGTACGTGTGCTCGGACGGGTCGCCACCTAGCTACCTTCACTCGGCAGCCGGGGTCGGACCTGTACACACTGACCACTGAGTCCCCTCAGGTAGCTGCGTCTGCGTCTGCGTCAGGTCAGCTGTCAGCCCCATGCTCGTGTCGCTCCCTGTCGCACCAGACAGTTCTCTGGCACCACCGTCTTGGTCACCCGTCAGTGCAGCGCCTTCGTGGCATGCACTCCCGGTACCTTGTCTCTGGTCTTCCCAGGGTTCTCCCTCCCCTCCCACCCTCGCCTGCTCCTCCCTGCCTTCCCTGTGTCGAGGGGCGGCAGCGCGCCACTCCTCACTCCTCCTCGTTCCCTCCCACAGAGGCTCCCCTGCAGACTCTCCACCTGGACGTGTGGGGCCCAGCCCGCGTCCGTGGACAGGGCCACGAGCGGTACTTCCTGCTGGTCGTCGACGACTACACACCCTACACCACGGTCTTCCGCTTGTGCACCAAGGGTGAGGTCCCTGATGTTTTGATCCCTTGGATCCGCGCTGCTCGTCTCCAGCTCTGCGAGCGGTTCCAGTCGGACTTTCCCGTCCTGCGTCTGCACTCTGACAGGGGTGGTGAGTTTTCCTCCGACCTCTTGGCAGCCTACTGTGCGGAGCACGGCATCCGCCAGACGTTCACGCTTCCGGCCTCTCCACAGCAGAATGGGGCTGCTGAGCGCCGCATTGGCTTAGTCATGGAGGTCGCTCGTACCTCCATGATCCATGCGGCTGCCCCCCATTTCCTGTGGCCGTTTGCAGTCCAGCACGCTGCGCATCAACTCAACCTCTGGCCCCGTGTCTCTGCTCCGGAGACCTCGCCCACACTGCGTTGGACGGGGGAGGTTGGCGATGCGTCAGTGTTTCGGGTCTAAAAATGTCGAGCCTTTGTTCACGATACGTCCGCGGACAAGCTCTCCTCCCGTGCCGTTCCCTGTGTCTTCCTTGGCTTTGTCCCTGACGCGCCTGGCTGGCAGTTTTACCACCCCACCTCGCGCCGTGTCTTCCCCTCTCAGGACGTCACTTTTGACAAGTCGGTACCCTTTTACCGTCTGTTCCCCTACCGCACTGCACCGCTCCCCCCCCCGCCTCTCTTCCTCACCCCAGGTGCCCCTTCGGTAGACCCCCTCCCTCCCCAGGGTCCTGCTCCCTCAGGTGTTTCCCAGGTAGACCCGGTCGAGCCTGTCGAGGTAGCTGTCGACTCTGGTCCTGCGAGGAGTACTGAGCCTGGGGGTGCTGAGACTGGGGGTGTTGAGACTGGGGGTGCTGAGCCTGGGGGTGCTGAGCCTGGGGGTGCTGAGACTGGGGGTGCTGAGCCTGGGGGTGCTGAGCCTGGGGGTGCTGAGACTGGGGGTGCTGGGCCTGGGGGAACTGAGACTGACCGTGCGGCGCCTGGTGGCGCTCCCTCTTCACAGCAGCTGCGTGAGTGGTACTCTCAGCGTTGCAGCCTCCGGCGTGGGGCTACTGGAGCTGGGGGTTCTGCCGGAGTTGGAGCTGGTGGTGCTGCGGGTACTGTGTCGCGGCCGGAGCCTCCCTCCCCACAGCGGCTGCGTGAGTGGTACGCTCGGCGCTGCAGCCTCCAGAGCGGCGCTCCTAGCGTTGGGGTGCCGCCCGCTGGAGGCCCTGGAGCGGCTGGACGTACTGCTGGTGCTGGAGCTGCTGGAGGTGCTGCTGGTTCTGGAGTTGGAGCTGGAGGTGCTGGAGCTGCTGGGCCTACCGGTGGCGCTGTGGCCGCTGGGCCTGCTGAGGTTGGTGTAGCTGCTGACCCTGGGGGTGGTGCTGCAGGGGCCGGAGCTGGAGGTGCTGACTCTCGTCCTCCTGCAGGTGCTGGAGCCGACAGTGCAGCTGGAGCTGGTGCTGCTGGAGGTACTGGAGTTGACAAAACTGGAGCTACTGGTGGTGCTGCGGGAGTTGGAGCTGCTGCTGGGGGTTCTGGTACTGTCTCTGCTAGTTCTGGGGGCACTTCACGGCCGCGGCCGTACTTCGTTCCGCTCCTTCAGCAGGTTCTTGGTCAGCCGCCTCCTCCTTGTCCTGCTCCCTCCTTAGAGTGTCCTCCGCCTGTCCAGTCGCAATCACAGTTACAACCTGCCTCGCCTCTTCCTGGTCCTTCTCCCTACACTGGTCCGACAGGAGGTCTTACGGAGCGTCGTGAGCCTGCGTCTCGTCCTGTGTCGCCTGAGTCTCGTGCTGCGTCCCCTGTTCGTGCTGCTCGCACTGGTCGTCGTGTCCCGCGTCAGCGTCCTCCAGCTGTCCCAGGCACTCACCAGATGACACTTCGTCTGTCCACTGCTCCAAAGCGTGTCCCTCTGCCTTCTCCTCCTGCGTCCTCCCTTCCTGCCCTTGCTGATCCGGAGTCTGACTCTCTTCGTGCTGCTACTGTCAAGCGTCTACTGGCCACTGCTGTCACTGACCCTTCCTTTGAGTCAGCTACTGCGTCTGCCTTAGTTGCTGAGCTTGTCGACTTTGCTGCTCACTATCGTCTAGACTACGCTGCGAGTCTTGTTGCTGAGTCTGAGTCTGTCTGTCCTCCGTCCGTTGGGGGTGAGTGTGCTCTTGGCACTGACGTCCTTGAGGACAGACAGGAGGAGTTTGAGTGCTTTGCCGCCGCTGCTGTACCTCATCTCGTGTCCATGCTGATTGCACCTGAGGGAGACCCGGATGCTCCAGACATCCCGGCCCCGCGCTCTTACGCTGAGGCGATTGTGGGTGAGTACTCCTCTCAGTGGCAGACAGCCATGGATGCAGAGATGGCATCCTGGAAGTCCACTGGCACTTACGTCGACGAGGTTCCCCCTCCTGGGGCGAACATCGTCAGTGGCATGTGGATTTTCAGGGTGAAGCGGCCGCCAGGTTCTCCGCCTGTCTTCAAGGCTCGTTACGTTGCTCGAGGTTTCAGTCAGCGAGAGGGAGTTGACTTCTTCCAGACCTTCTCCCCCACCCCGAAGATGACTACTCTTCGGGTGCTGCTGCACGTTGCCGCTCAGCGTGACTACGAGCTTCACTCTCTTGACTTCAGCACAGCTTTCTTGCAGGGCAGCCTGTTCGGGGAGATCTGGCTGCGTCGCCCCCTTGGCTTCACTGGGTCGTTTCCTCGTGGTACCCAGTGGAGCCTCCGGCGGCCGGTCTACGGTCTCCGCCAGGCGCCACGTGAGTGGCACGACACACTGAGGACTACACTTGCGGCTCTTGGGTTCGCGCCTTCTACTGCTGACCCGTCGCTGTTTATGCGCACCGACACTTCACTGTCGCCGTTCTACATCCTCGAGTACGTCAACGACTTGGTCTTTGCCACTGCTGACACTGAGGCTCTCGCCCACGTGAAGTCGGAGCTGCAGAAGAGACACACGTGCACAGACCTGGGTGAACTGCGCAGCTACCTTGGCTTGCAGATCACCCGGGACAGAGCACGCCGCACCATCACACTGACTCAGTCACACATGGTGCAGCAGGTCCTTCAGCGCTTCGGCTTCACCTGGTCCTCCGCACAGCCCACTTCTCTGGCTATAGGTCACTCGCTCTCAGCTCCACCTTCGGACGAGTCCGTAGAGCCGAGTGGTCCTTACCCAGAGCTAGTTGGCTGCCTCATGTACCTGATGACTTGCACTCGTCCTGACCTCGCATACCCTCTTGGCCTTCTGGCTCGCTACGTGGCTCCTGGTCGGCACCGAAAGGTGCACATGGATGCTGCTAAGAGGGTACTGCGCTACTTGTGCAGTACATCAGGCATGGGGCTCGTGCTTGGAGGTAGGAGCTCAGTTGTTCTCACTGGGCACTCAGACGCTTCTTGGGTTGACGACCAGGCTACTCAGCGGTCGTCACAGGGTTACACCTTCAGCCTTGGCTCTGGTTCAGTTTCTTGGCGTTCTACTTGATCGTCTTCAGTTCTCAGCTCCAGTTGTGAGGCTGAGATCTACGCCACAGCCATGGCTGCACAGGAGTTATGTTGGCTCACCTACCTTCTGACTGACTTGGGAGAGCGGCCTCGCTCTCCTCCAGTGCTGTACGTCGACAACAAGGCTACCATTGCCTTGTGTGAGGAGCACAGACTGGAGCACAGAACGAAGCACATCGTTCTGCGTTACTTCCTGGCTCGAGAGTTGCAGCAGCGTGGTCAGCTTCGTCTGCGTTACGTGGCCACTCAGGCCAACACCGCTGATATATTCACCAAGGCACTTCAGTCTGGTGATCATCAGCGTTTCTGCACTATGCTGGGGCTTGTGCCCACTTTTCCTCACTTGCTGTAGGTTTTGCGTGTACTGTGATCTATATATCTATATACCTGCATGCTTGCTTTGCTAGGTCGAGATCACTGTGTTGTTTGTGTTGCATATATGCCTCTGCATGTGAACTGGCCTTGTGGCTCTTTGCTTGTGCTCAGTGTGTGTGGTGACTTTGTGATACACCCTGAGCTTGCTTTGTCTTTCTTGACTGGTCTTGTGACCCCTTACTCTCCCCCACTTAGCCTATGGGGGTGTGTCAAACATTATATGTGTTACTGTTCTGTAGGCTACAGTGGGTTTAGCCTTAGGGGGTACAATATTCTAGGTTTTCCTACTTGTACTCCCAATCTTGCTAGTCCAAACCAGCCGTAGAAGGACGTCGACTCAAAGCCCTTGATGGGGAATCCACCAGGGAGCTGCTGGGGGATGCATGTATGTGAAGGACGGGGTGTGCGGAGGGAACTCGACGCATGGGGTATAGACGAGGACTAGAGCACACAAGCTCTCGAATGGAACAGCATGCAGGCATCTGTGCACCCAGTGTGAAAGAAGCGTGAGCAGCACAGAAATTCACTGCTCAAATCAAATAATGAAGCAGTATCCCTTGAGACTTTTCGGCCATGCTACACCAAGGTAACACGGGTCCCATAACCTCAGTCACACGTACGCTGTCACTACCCTTGCCGCACGCCACACCAAGCAGCTTTGCCAGTGGCTTCAGCAACGGAGAGCAAAGAGGACTGCTGCTGCCTGCCTTCACGACAGCCTTCTTGCCTTTCTCGGCCGGCCCCTGGCTTTCCAACACGAGCCCGCCTCCTTTGCGTGCCAGTTTGAGCAGCAGCTGGAAGGCCTGAGAGGGCGTGCTGCCAGAGCAGCCGACCTTCATGGCGGCCTTCAGCTGCTCCACTGACAGCACCGGCGCTGCTGAGGTGTTGGAGAGAATGCTGAGTGCCGCCTCGATGCTGCCCACCACTGCGTACGCCCAGCAGTCGCCTGCCAGGCAATGCATGGGTTGCATAAAGGAAAGACATGGTTTGCACAGGCAGGCAGACTATTATCACAGTGTAGCATGGTAGTTCGTACTAGCCTCGCGATCGCGCTGTGGTAGCTGTGAAACCGGTGTGGTTGCACCCAACATGCCGGGTCTGCGTGGTCTTGGGGGCGGAAGTCTCAGCTTCCAATCTGAATTGCGACAGTTGCGATCATGCATCGCATTTGCACTCACTCTCTCTGCTCCTCTGTACTTCGTCATCCAATAAGCGAGTCCCATCCGTTTTTGTTTTCAGGGCTACCCCTCACATGTTCTTTGTTTTGCACTGCAACTTTAGGATTATGCTTCCTGTAACCCCTCCCGTTTCACATGTATCCGATAGAAAAAAAAAAAAAAAAAATCAACATAGGAAAGGAATTATGTTATGTCAATCAAGGGCCGAGTCGATCCAAACCATGCCTCACGTTCACACATACTCTCTGCTCCTCCGGAATTCACCATCCCGTAAGGGAGTTTCACCCCTCTTTTTTTTAAGGTCAGCTCTAGCATTTCTTGATTTTGCACCGCAGGTTCAAGTCTATGTTTCTTTAACCTTTTCAACCAATCACACGTGTTCGGAAAACAGACAATCGACATTGAAGAACAAAATGATGTTTAAAGGGGCCCAATCGAACCGAACCACGATTCAACCACAGTTGGTCGAACCTCGAACCAGCCAAGGGGCTTAGTTGGTTCGACTCAAGCCTGTTCGGTTCGGTTTGACTAACAGGCCACTACGAGTCACTTCGATCCGGACCCGTTTGAGTTCGACTATGGTTCATGCCTACCAGCTCACTGCAAGCTAGGTAGCCTCGTCTCTCACTCGACCTGAGCCAAGACGGCTCAGCACGAGCTGGCCGACTACAGACACCGGAAAAGGCAAACCGCATCTCAAAAGAGTGAACACTGTACTGACATGGGATGGCATAGCCATGCAAACCATGGCTGCCACATCCTCATCTTAACACCTAGTACTAGCAGTGGGTGTCCAGGAGTACTCACCGCAAGTTGTCTGTGTCTTGACAGGCCACATGAAGTCAGGCCTAGCCCATGAAGCCACAGGGCGCACACCATACACGTCATTGCCACCCACAGGAGCAGCACTGCCCGAGCTGGCATAGCGGAAGAAAAGATTCATCCCCGACAGAGAGAGCGCCGCCTCGCTGAACGTAAAGCCCCGCGCTGCAACCATGGTCCAGGAGAGGGTACACAGTGGACACGAGGAGGGTTGTGGAGGTCACAACAGGTAGACACCTAAAACTGGTTCAAAGTGCAACTACATTGCTTGCTCCTAAAAGGGACAAAACAGCAGCCATATCATGTCATAACTGGAGTTGGCTGGATAGGAAAATCTGCAACAATAAGAAAAAGTTATTCAGCAAAGAGCCGAGTTAGGGCTGCAATCACTGTTCAAAACCATTCTTTATGAACTAAAGGGACAAGCGGACAACAAATAAGAGACGATAAGTGACAGGATCGACACGGAGGTGCACTCACTCGTGGAGAGGGTCCAGGCGGAGACGACATGGGTTTGAGGCTGGGCGCCCGAGGCAGCAGTGAAGTCGATAGCAAAGGTGTACTCCGATGGGGAGGGGGCGAGCTCCTCACACAGGGAGATGCGTGCCGACAGGAGGGGGGTGGTGGGGCGAGGGGACGCATGGGAGGAGAGGAAGACGCGCAGGGAGCCATCAGAGGAAGGGTCGTAGTCGATCCACACGTGCTTGGGCGTGCCGTCATTGAGAGGGGTGCTCATACTGGATGTGACCACGGACGTGGCATTGCCGCCGGTGTTGATGCCCACGTGGCTGCTGTCAGGGTCGCTGTTGCGCGCATCCATCGACGTGTCAAACTCCACTGCCACGCTGCGCGCTCCCATCCCCGCATACCCCATGCCGCCCGCCACCGGTGTTGTGGGCGGGGTGGCATCAAAGGCCACCACAAAGGCAAAGCCTTCGGAGCCGGAGGCAGCAGGGCGGGTGAGAGTGAAGGAGAAGGAGGAGGAGAAGGCGAGTTCACGGCCACAACTGTCCCCGATGAGCTGGTAGGAGAAGAGCGGCACACGCGCTACCAGGAACACACTGCCAGCCTTGGACGGCTGGGCAGGCGTGAGAGTGAGCGTGGCTGTTGCAGCATCCACGGAGGCGTCGCCAGTGGCTGTGAGCGTGGCTGCTGTGGGCGTTAGATTTTGCTCCGTCTTACCACCTGGACATAGGTAGTTGGGGAGGTAAGTGCAGAACATGCTTTCTCGAAGGAGGCATGCGGAAGTCACCAGGGGGTATCAGCTAAGTCAAAAGAAGCAATCACGAGAAGATTGTATGCTTGACAGCAGTACAAGCAGCCATGGCATGCCACGGGATACTACACGGATGTGTAATGCTCAGATGTCAATGCCTCACCCGCCACAGCCACACAGCTGCCGGGGAACTCCCCAATCACGTAGTTATCGTCACAGAGGCATGTGGGCGTGCTGCTGGGACCGTCCAAGAAGCACACGCCATGGCCGTTGCAGGGAGGGTCGGTGGGCGAGACACCGCAGAAGGCAGAGCAGACGGGGTCAGCCTTTTGACTCTCGTCCACATCACACGCAAGGCCCTCTGCTGGCGTGGCTGCACAGTTGCTGTGGTATGTGATGTAGCCCTGACCGCATGGTGGGGGGGACGAGAATCCCTCACTCAGGTAGTTGTTGTCTAGCTTGTACATCTTCACGTTAGGTGGCACGGGCTCGAGGACTTTTCCTGTGAGGAGGTTGTTTCTCAGGTTGCTGGCGATGGAGGTGGAAGTATGGGGAATGGAAGGATGTGGGGTAGCAAGGGAGAATGAGGCCCGAAGCAAGGGGGAATGAGGCCTGAAGCAAGGGGGAATGGGGAGGGAAGCAAGGGGGAATGAGGCGGGTAGCAGTGAAGAATGGGGTGGGAAGCAAGGGGGAATGAGGCGGGAAGCGAAGGGGAATGAGGCGGGTAGCGAGGGGGAATGAGGGGGTAGCAAGGGAGAATGGGGTGGGTAGCAAGGGGGAATGAGGCGGGAAGCGAGGGGGAATGAGGCGGGTAGCGAGGGGGAATGAGGGGGTAGCAAGGGAGAATGAGGAGGGTAGCAAGGGGGAATGAGGCGGGAAGCAAAGGGGAATGAGGGGGGTAGCAAGGGAGTATGAGGCCCGAAGCAAGGGGGAATGAGGCCTGAAGCAAGGGGGAATGGGGAGGGTAGCAAGGGGGAATGAGGCGGGTAGCAAAGGGGGATAAGGCGGTGAACGAGGGCGGATGAGGCGGGAAGCTGGAGGGGCTTTGGCGGGTGGGTGGGGGGAACGAGGCAGTGTGCGAAGGGTTTCAGCGGCGGGTACCTATGGGGAGTGGGACGGGAAGCAGTAGGGAATGAGGCGGGAAGCAGGAGGGAATGAGGCGAGATGCAGGAGGGAATGAGGCGGGTACGTGGGAGGAATAAGTGTGTGAGTGAAGAACAACGAAGCGGGTAGCATGGGGGAATGAGGACAAGAGCAATAGGGAACTGTTTGTTCATCCGTCCTGCCAGCTTGATATGCCAACAATCATGACACAAAGCGCAATGGAGAGGCCTTGAATCAGTCCTGCATGACGTGACAACAAGTGTGGCCAAAAGGAGAGTGTTGGTCAGTACCAGTCCTCCATGACAAGAGAACACTACCTGTAGGGAAGTGTTTGTCACTGCCGGTCCTGCTTGACATGTCTACAAACAATACACGATGGGTCAGTGTGATGCTGCAAAACATTCCTGCATGTCCCTACAACTCTAGTGGGTAGAACAGCAGGGGTTTCTCAACTCCGTTCCAGCATGAACCAAGAACATACAACACAGCAAGCTCTTGGGTCACTGCATACAGGCTGCCCTGTATGGCATGAGAGCAGACATGCCCCATACGGGGAGTTTGTGTCTGGCTCTATTATTCTTGCACCTCAAATGGCATGAGAGCAGACATGCCCATAAGCGTTGCATAACGACCAGGCAGGAATTAAATAATGCATACTCACTAAGCAATCGATGTATCAGAATGACTGCTCCACCACAGACCGTTATGTGCATGTTCTGTGAAGGTGGTGTTTGGTTTTACACTGTTATGTTGCATACTTGTCACTATGCAAATGGGTTGGGGGGACTCCACAAACCCTCTAATTCTATTTTTTATCATGTACGTACACCACACTATTGTGGCTTTGCAAATCAATGTGCCATTACGTGCCCCGCCCTGCGCCATTCCACTCGACTCCACGCTATGCCACGTACGCGAATCTCCCCGATTTGCGACCCAGTCGCAACCACACACAAGGAACTTTTGAGTCTGCGTTTTTTTTTCAGGCGTGCCGCAACGGCTTCGTGTCGACCTGTCGCATCTCTGTACGACTTGCTGCGATCGTGCGTCACCGTTTCTCCCCAGACCCTATGTGACTCTTGACGTGACGCTTGTGTAGGTTTGTGTGGCACGCGAGGCATTTCATTGTAAACAGTACGACAACCCGGGCATAATAATTATGACCCTCGCAAACCCAGATACACTAGCGCATTTGACAGTCGGGTTAAACAAAAAGAAGCGCACCCTGCCGCTCGTGGACGGATACTCAATTAAGCACGCACGCTCCCACGGAATCTTAACACGGCAGTGCAGCATTTTTTTCCTTTATACACCTCAACCACCAGGCGATTGGTTGTTGGCGGAAAAGGGGGACCTGGCAGTCGCAACGTGCACCATAGCAGGAAACACTCAAACCCTCATCACCTCCGTGCTCCCCTTGCGTGCCTCCATCTATGACGATCGTCTGCTCTAGGCCTCAGCCTTTGCCGCGTCCCTCTCCCTCCTCAACCAATTTTTTATGCTCGTAGACTGACTGTCAGGTTCCTCACGGTATAACAACCCGCCCCCTCAGAGTACTGCGTGAATGGAAAGCTAGACATCGTAATGGGTAGTCAGACAATGAAGGGGCCCGATGGGGCGATCGTACTGGCTGATTCGTCTAAACCCCCCGACGAAAAAAATTTTGCGGAGTTAGTAACAGCAGATAAGACGGCCGAGATCGTAAACGAGTATCGCAAAAATAATGCGTCGTCGGCGCGAGATGTTGTTGATTCAGGACGTGTCTCTTCATCTGGTGACGAATCGAACAGCGACTGCGATGTTGAGCATACGCAAACAAGGGCGTATCATCCCCTCCGAAACCAAGGGATAAGCGCGTGAAGCGCTTAGATGATCTCGTTCCCAAAGGCGGCCAGAAAGGTACGTGTTTATGGTCGCAGATGCGGAATATTCTACTTGTATGAAATTTTATCGCATCTAGAAGCATTAAACGATGCTTGCAGTCGTGTCTGACTTGTAGGAGGTTATTGTCTCTCCAATTGTGTTTCCACATCAGCGTCAGCGGACAAGCGTGACAACCGGGGGGGGCGTAAGCACCGTCCAAGAAAAAGAGGCACTCGTTCACATCGTGAGGAAACGCCTGCGTCTGAAGGCGACGAGGAGGGCAAGGACGGGGGACCTGACAGCTTAGGTACGCTGTGGGTGTGATATCGACGGTTTATAACTTGCACGTTACTCATTACAATGACGCCGCATGTCATGTTGCAACTTCCAGCCAATAAGATAATGTGTGCACAGTATTTCTTATGTACCTGTAATGTCCGCCTTCGCAGATGGGACGGCAGGCAAACGCGCAGGCCAACGCGCTCGTGGTGGTGGAGAGCGCAATGGCGTCAGGGCTGCCGCGGCTAAGGGCGGTCCTTCGGGCAGGCAGGCGCAGGATGCGGATGGTGGCAACGAGGGGGATCATGCCGAGCCTGAAGCTCGTGGTGGCGGAAAGCGCAACGGCGGCAGGGCTGCCGCGGCTAAGGGCGGTCCCTCGGGCAGGCAGTCGCAGGATGCGGATGGTGGCGACGAGGGGGACCATGCCGAGCCTGAAGCTCGTGGTGGCGGAAAGCGCAACGGCGGCAGGGCTGCCGCGGCTAAGGGCGGTCCCTCGGGCAGGCAGGCGCAGGATGCGGATGGTGGCGACGAGGGGGATCATGCCGAGCCTGAAGCTCGTGGTGGCGGAAAGCGCAACGGCGGCAGGGCTGCCGCGGCTAAGGGCGGTCCCTCGGGCAGGCAGTCGCAGGATGCGGATGGTGGCGACGAGGGGGATCATGCCGAGCCTGAAGCTCGTGGTGGCGGAAAGCGCAACGGCGGCATGGCTGCCGCGGCTAAGGGTGGTCCCTCGGGCAGGCAGTCGCAGGATGCGGATGGTGGCGACGAGGGGGATCATGCCGAGCCTGAAGCTCGTGGTGGCGGAAAGAGCAACGGCGGCATGGCTGCCGCGGCTAAGGGCGGTCCCTCGGGCAGGCAGTGGCAGGATGCGGATGGTGGCGACGAGAAGGATCATGCCGTGCCTGAATGCCGTGGCGTTAACGATCGTGATGAGGACGAGCCAGCAGCAGTGGCTGATGGGAAAGAAGATGGACGTGAAGCTGTGATTCCGTACAAACGGCGCAATGCTGTGGATCCGAGCAGTCGCGACCGTAAGGCGAGACAAGCTCGGCACGGCCCCAATGTGCACGTTTCGAGCTCGTCTGGTTCCGAGGAAGATTCGAGCGACAGTGAGTCGGGCAGCTCATCCGGGAGTGAGGAGGTATACGAGGACGAGGATGAGGAGGAGGAGGACGAGGAGGATGAGGAGTTGGAGCCGGAGAGCGAGGATGGGGAGGAGGCTCGGCCTTTGAAGAGGAGGAGTGTGCGGAAGCTCAAAAAGGGCAACGGAAAGCGAAAATCGGAGAGGGGACGGGTGAAGAGCTGTAAACAGAGTGTGCGTCGTGCCAAACCACATGGCAAGCGCCAGAGACCTCGATTCGAAGCTAAAATTGTGGGTGTGCGTAGCAAGGCGAAGCGGGAGTTGAATTTTTACGAGTCCATGGGGCTACGATGTCCATCAAGCTCTCATGATCGGCAAGCCGCGGACCCGTACGCTGCGTTTCGCGAGCCGATGGGTTCGGCTGGGAAGGGAGATCCGATGGCTTGGGGGTCAGCGCGGTTTGGCAGGGAAGCGACGGACCCGCCCCCCAAGCATACGGGGGGTCACGCGGTTCATGTGAAAATCGAGGGGGCAACGAAGCGGCACGAACCCTCGGCCGCTGCAGCAGCGAATGACGGTGTGGGAGGAGGTGTGTGGGCGAATGCCTTGGGTGAATGTGGCGGCGGTGTGGAAGGCTCCATGTGGGATGTACGGGAGAGCAGGGGAGAAGGAGGAGACGCAAAAATGGATCCGGCGACTAAGGAGGGGAGGGGAGAGAGCATGGGTACACCTGGCGCATCCAGTCGGCCGGATGTGGCTGGCGGCAGGACTGTGGAGCAGCTCATGCGAGAGCTTGCCCAGCGGGATCGCGAAATCGCGGCACTCAAGGCAAGGCCAGGATCAAAAGGACCTGTCAAGCCCTGCACCCCTCCATCTAGGCCTCCTCCTCTAGCGTCTCTGTCGAGCGGCCCATCTGCAGGGGGCCTCGATCCAGGCGTGGCGCCAGAAAGCCCATCGACGGTAGACGTACCGGTCCGTCGAACGCGTGGGATGCCCACACCCAAGCTGCTGAAGGTGAGATTGTTTTAGTGTTAAACAATGAGTGGCATGGGGCTCAGTGATAGCTGCAGCTCTCTCTCCCAACCCCTCGTTTCCCCCACCTCTTGCTGCTGGTCAGCGTGTTGGTGGCATTATGCGCAGTGATAGCGGCATGTCTGCTGTGGGATAGGCATTCCCAGTACGCCTCGCTTCAGGGAGGTGGCGCTGGGCGTACGATGCTCACCGTAGCAGTTATCCTTCCTATCCCTCCCCCCTCTCTCCCATCCCTCCCCTACCTCAACCAGAGCTCCTGATCATGGTGCTGGTGGTGGTGTGGGTGGCACGCGGCGCAGGGATAGCTCACCGTCGCAGTTATCCTTCCTATCCCTCCCCCCTCTCTCCCATCACTCCCCTACCTCAACCAGAGCTCCTGATCATGGTGCTGGTGGTGGTGTGGGTGGCACGCGGCGCAGGGATAGCTCACCGTAGCAGTTATCCTTCCTATCCCTCCCCCCTCTCTCCCATCCCTCCCCTACCTCAACCAGAGCTCCTGATCATGGTGCTGGTGGTGGTGTGGGTGGCACGCGGCGCAGGGATAGCTCACCGTAGCAGTTATCCTTCCTATCCCTCCCCCCTCTCTCCCATCCCTCCCCTACCCAAACCAGAGCACCTGTTCATGGTGCTGGTAGTGGTGTGGGTGTCATGCGGCAGAGTGATAGCTAAGCATAGCAGTTATCGTTCCTCTCCCTCCCCCCTCTCTCCCATCTCTCCCCTAGCTCTTCCAGAGCACCTGTTCCTGGTGCTGGTGGTGGTGTGGGTGGCACGCGGCGCAGGTATAGAGGAAGCCGTATCCGTCAACCCCACGCGACCCCCTTTCTTTCCGCCGCTCCTCCCTTCCCTCTCTATCCCGTCCCTCTCCCTCCCCGTCCAGAGCCACTGTAAAAGGTGCTGCTGGTCACGCGTGTGGCATGCGGC